GAGGAGACGCATCTTGGGTTAAAAAAACAAAAAACAAAAAACAAAAAAAAAAAAAAAAAAAAGAAAAGAAAAAGAAATCAAGTGGTAAAAATGAATGCAAAGCGACCAACCCTCCTTTCCCTTCCTTCCCCCTTCCCCCTTCCCCCTTCCCTCTCCCGCTGCGCAACTAAATTATGGGAAAAAAAAAGGGGGCAGAGACGTGGAAGAACAAATTATAAATGAATGAATGAATGAATGAATGAATGTCTACGAATTAAAACAGCAACAACCCATAAAAATGTGTATTTTCCGCGACTTCATTTCACCCAAAACAATTTTCCCATACATGCGCAATAATAAAATAAAAATAAAAATAAAATAAATACAAATAAATAAAAATAAATAAATAAATATATGTACATGTACATACATATATATACATACATACATACATACATACATACATACATATATATATATATATATATTACATGCATACATGTAACAAGTTTTCTTTCCTTCCTTCTTCTTTTTGTTCCGTATCATCACCTACATTTCCCTTCCCCGCCCACCCCCTCAAAAACAAAAACAAAACAAAAAAAAAAAGGGGGTGGTCGCATCTCAGAAAATCATGTTTCATTTTTAACTTTAGAAACTCATGTCTTCCCTTTCCCCTCCGCCCCCTCCTCCCCCTCCCCACACACACACACAAAAACAGTGTCTTCGACGGTGACAGTCCTCAAAAATACACACAAATGTGTCAAAACTTTTGCTCCCCCCTTTGCTATAATAACCCATCGAACGCACAAATACACGAAGTAACAGAAAACATCTCTCTTTTCCTCCTCTTGGTTTTTTTTTTTTTTTTTTTTTTTTCTCTCCTCCCGATTCTTCCTCCTTTATTTATTAAAAAAAAAAAAAAAAAAAAAATGCCTCTTTGTGCACACATGTAAATAAAACAAACAAACAAACAGCCATCCAAAGGGGGAAAAAAAAAACTTTTTTTTTTTTTTTTTTTTCTTTCTTTTTCTTTTTCTCTTTCCGCTCAGCATTTCTCATGCCTTTTTGTCCTACTCTTCTTTTAGGAACGTTTCCTCCAAATTATCTTTAACCCAATTCATCCATGCTTGGTCATTTTCTTCATCAAGTTGTGCACGCAGTGAGGCATCCGCCGCTGAAGGTAAAAAGTTTGAATGCCCCGCTGTGAAATGCCTCTTGTCATCCCCGGCAAGATTGGTATTCTCAATTTCTCTCTGCTGCTTGGCAGCGCTCATCTGGGCGTTCCCCATATTTACCACCGCTTTTCCACCCCGGTGTCCACGACGCGTTCGCTTTCGTGAAGTCTCATCCCACCACCGGCAACATTGTTCCGACCACGATTGCAGCTCCGCAGCATCTAAGATCGCGGCTTCCTGAATAAGGCGTTTGGGCGGTGAGGGGCACCGTTGACGAACGCGGGCGCGTGTGTTTTCCTGCGCCGGCAGGATGCGCTTGTACCAGCGCAGCATCGTTGACCTGTACTGATGCATTCGTTCTACTGATGGGTTTGAAAGCGTTTCCGCAAAAAACAATTCGTATGGTACGGGTGATGGCAACATCTTGAAACGCAGCGTCTTCTCCTTCAAACGCTTTTCCCCATCAAAATTTGAGAAGCACAGAGGTGACGACATCATCACGTGTAGTTGTTCAGGCGGCGCCCACGATGGCTGCCGTACCTTCAGCGAGTTCTTCTGTCCCAACATGCTCCTACCAGCAGCACCAATGCTGATATTTATCCCACTGTGCGATACACCAGGGGATGTAGGAATGTCATTGCAACCAACAAACG